GCTAGTTCCGTCTCGAAGGTCATCGGCATCCCGGCACAGGTGGGTGAATGTTCAGAGAAGGACTAACCGTGCTTGTGGCTTGCACAGGGCACGCTGGCATTCGAGATTGAGTGACTGTGCTGATGGCGAGGAGAACCTGCTCGACTTTGGATGTGCGACCTGCGTTTGCAGCGTGTTGCTTCCTGAGACTAGTTTCTTTCTGATTTCCGAGATATCAGAGCTGCAGAGGGGAAAGACAGATTTTCGAACGCAGCCGCTCGCCTCGCTCGCGTTTCCAGGCTCTTCGCACTCACCTTGGTCCTGGTTGGGTGCATAGCCAGCACCTCGAGTATCACAGATTTTGCATGGGCGAGGGGAGGCAGCTGGACAGGAGCTCTTATGCAGTGGGGAACAGGGTGCCTGCAAGAAGCAGGGGAGGCCGAGCACAGCAAACCTCAAGAATGGCCTAGGTTGACATCTACTTCATTTTCTACATCTTCTCGGCAATCGGCGGGCTGTGCATGGGTGCCGCCCCAAGCTGGACCGGAAGCTCTCGCATATGTCGAAGCCAAGAGCAGCAGAACAGTCTGTTGCTGCATTGCCTCCGCTGAGTCTTCCCATGAGCTGGCAGGTCAGTATCGACAGCTGAATAGTGTCAAAAGAGTCGACGTGCCGATCAACCTCAGACCAGGGGCACCGTTCTCAGATGGGCTTGGCAGTTGTTCCTGTGCTTTTTCGTCAGTGGCCCAGTGGCCTTTAGCGAGACGGCTACGAGAAGCTCCACGAATTCAGCATGCCTCTGTGTCAACCATATTGCGTTTGTGTGACCGCTCTGGCGGAGTGTGCACAGGGAAAAGACGCCGGACGCTTCCAAGCGAAGATTGGGCCCGGCTGGCGCATGGTTTGGGGACGGATGGCCTCGGCCTTAACGAAAGTCTGAAAAACAGATGAGTGGCTAGTGGGTCGCACCGGCGCGGAAAAAGTGCGCATCTGAACGCGGCTGGAGGTGCACAGCTTGTTGAGTGAGCACGGGACTCAGCCTCGTGCCAACTTGCATCCTTCCAGCTCCTGAGAGGAAAGAGGAAAGATGAGTTTCGAGCTCCGTCAGAGTTTGTGAACCTGGGAGTGCTAAGGTCTCTCATCGACCAGCGCATGGCAGAGTGGCTGCGGAAGGCTGCGGAGCCGCCCGGAGGGGAGGTCGACCCAGGCAGGGGCCAGGGCAGGGCAGGGGCCAATTTGCCGGGCCCGGCGCTCCTTCAGGCAGACTTCGGCATCACGAGAAGAAAGACCTGCACGCAGACTCAGCGGGTGTTGTGAGATATGCCAGGGCTTTGCGAGAAGGTGGCTTGAAGGGATATCGAGCAGGGCAGGTGTTCTTCAATGTTGAATGTCAGTTGTGCGTTTTTAGCTGCTTGATGCGGTAGTGCCTTGCGATCGATGCCGAGGCCAGACGACAAGCACAAGGACAAACTGTCCGCAGCCTACGCACACAAGTCGGCCAAAGGATAGCGGATTGCACATTTGTTATTGTTGCATGTGTATCGTCATGTGGATTCCCGACATGTTTCTGTTTCATGCAAGTTCGGCCACGGCTCCTGCATGCTAAGGATCCACTTGTCACGCTTCCCCCAGATCGTGGCAGAGCGGCTCGCCTTCTTCTTCCAGTCTCTCGAGAGGATCCAGGCCCATGCCGGAATCACCAGCTTGGAAGCGTAGCCACCGTGTGCTGCCGGAATTGTGCTGAAGTGTGATGTTCTAGTGGACATTTGGGTACCAATCAGCTTTGGCAGTTTTGCGAGGAGCCGGGCGATGGCACACAGGTTGAAGAAACCGACAAGCCGCCAGGCTGCAACACAAGCTATGTCGCAGAGGTTTGGTGGTTGAGTCGTTGAGGCTCTCAAAGAGGCTCTTTGTTTTTGGCCAAGGCTTACATCTCCGGATTTCGAGCCGGGCACGGTTCCATCGCTGACGCAGATCATCCCCTGCTACCAAGAGGCCCGGCCAGAGGGCGAGGGAGGGCTGCGTGAAGAGAAGTGCAGTGCGTGCACACCTCAGCATCCGCATTCTTGCGTGCAGATGGTGATCCCAACCTCCGACTTCTTGCGGAAGGGTTCATCCCCGGAGGCACATCTGGGCGCTCGAACGTTGCGATGTCGTCGGAAGTCGTAGTGGTTCGCATCAGCGCACATGGCCGCCCGCCTCACTACGGACTCTCAATGTGTCATCGCGATAGACACGGATCCAGCAGGATGCCAAGAACCAGAGCCCCAACGACGAGCCTGGGCCTGTGCACGAGTGCTGCTGAACTGCTAGATTGGACCCACAGTTTCTGAACAATCTTCGGGACGTGAGGCCGAGCAGTTTAGATTTCGGAACATCTATACAAGTGAAGGGGATGACCATGTCCAGAGTGAGCCTGCCTAACGGAATGTGTCAGATTTCACACACCACGCCTCTCAGAAACAGGCACGGCATCGGCGATTTGACTGCGCCGCCGCTGGGCGATGGGGTGGCGGCCTTGGTGTTTCCATGAAGCCGCCCACTTTGCGTTGAGAGAACCTTTGGCATCGAATCGGACAGGGTAGTTTGCAGTGCATCGGAGGGACTTTGGTTGTCTGACAGCCTCGGTCTCGCATCCCACAGGTCAACACGAACCTGGCCTTTATCATCTCCCAATTTCCAGATGAGTGGCTCTTCTTCGCAAAAAGGTGAGCATGGCTAGGGCTCGACTTGCAGCCAGAGCTGACAGTGCCAGCTGGGCGTGTGGCGAACGTAGCGCTGCTTGTTAGCCCTCTTCTTGGGAAAGCTCATGACGAGCTTTTTAGGTGTATTTATGATCTTACGATTTCAGGCATGTTTCAGTTGTTGTGAGATCTGAGTTGCCGAGAGCTCGTTGCTTTGTTACAGTTGCGAAGAGAATTCCATGCGCATGTGTGTTTGCTGTCTGTTGGTGTGTATTGGCTAGGGCACAGCCTCGTGCCAGGCAACCTCGCTTGCTGCTTGCTGTAGTGTCGAAATGACTCGTGATGGCAGGGTCTACAAGGACGAGCGCGGCAGTGCAGTGGTCTCAGTCGTGAGCCTCTTGCGGTGCAAACAGGCATGTTTCGCAGTGCCGGCAGTTCGCACACAGCCTTCACACTTGAACTGCTAAGTTCCTCGAGCTATACAAGCTCTTCATAGAGGACACGGCTTTGCCAGCGGTGCTGTTGCAGTTTCGGTGCTGGCCCCTGCTCCGTGTGGTTTTTGTGAGTGGGAAGACTTGTTGAGGCTTATCATCATTTCACGATATATCACGGCTGCAGGCAGCACAGTCACCAGAGCATCCCTTCAAACGAAGCTGCAAGAAGAGCTGAAACAAAAGCTTTGAGCTTTGGCAAAACCTAAACCCTAATCCTTAAAACCCTAAAACCCTAAACCCTAAAGCCCCGCTCGAAGGACAAGCTACCAACCTTGGCACCCCCGGGGCAGCTAGGCCTCGATTTGGAGCTCGAGGCGCCCAGGGGCCGCCGAGAGACAGCCGGAAAAAAGCAAATAAAGTACATAGTATAATATCAAGTATAAGGTGTATATATATAATATATATGTATATATGTATAT